TTCTCAAACGAAAAAACCCCCCTTTCATTCACCAAAACCCCCAAAATCTCTCTCTCCTCTCACTTTCTCTTTCCCAGGTCAAAACCGCTTATTATAACCCACTTTTCACACCCAATCTTTATTTTACTCCAATAACCTTAAATTAAACATTTTAGTCCCCTTTCCGCTTCTTATCCTTAAACATTATTGCTACCCCTTTTTTAGCCTACTCTTTTGAAACCCTGACCTAATCCCTTTATTCCTCCCATTAAACCCCTCCCACCCCCTTCGCTTTGTTTCCTTAAAGCCAGGACATTGCTTCTTCTATTCATAACACCCACAATCATCTCTTCTTTTTTTTTTGCAAACACACGCCATTAGATCCACTTTGACAATTTTTTTTCTTATCTTGTTAGTAATCTTTCAGGAAAAGGGGTTACTCCCAGGTTTCCCCGGCTTTTATTGCTTTTACAACACACATGGCTTCGGGGGGAAAGATTTTATTCCACTTCCCTGGATATGAAAGGAAAAGATTAAGCCCTAGAATATTAAGATAAAATCAAAGAAAACTAAGGGTTGGCAAAAAAAATGTGTAAGTTGTGTATGTGACCTAACCCACCACCCCTTTGGGGTTTTTTTCGTTTCCTTACTATTCTTGTTTCTTGTAAATTTCCTCTTTGTCCATATTAAAAGTGGAACGAATATTTCTTCCATACCATGCGTGTTGTAAGAGGCATTAAAAGCGGGGAGCAAGGGGCGGAAAACCCCTTTCTGTATAATTACAAAATTTTAAAAAGGAAAAACTTTCATATTTCCTTTTGGGCCACCCCCGCCTTGGGGAAATGCCAGTTTGTTGAAAGAAGAAGAAGAAAAAGCTTCTTTCCCTAGTGGGGGTTTTATTTATGTATTGTCCAGCACAGTTTGTTTTTTTATTTACATTTACTAATAATTTGTCTTTCACCTAATTCGGGATGTAGCTTATCTCAAATCATTTTCATTTGATTTTTGCTGAAATTAATTGTAAATTATATGATTCATTTTTTAAAAATTACTATACAGTGGACCCTCAACCAACGGCTTTAAAATCCATTCCAGAGGGGTTGCTGTTGGTCAAAATTGCCATTGGTTGAGTTAATTTTCCCCTAAGAAATAATGGAAATAGAATTAATCTGTGCCTGACCCCCCAAAGTCTGATTTTTTTTTTTTACATGAATTGATTTCCTTATTATGGAAAGGAATGGGACATGCAAAATAAACAATAATTAAATGCCACTTGCCTTTATTGTGGAGTTGTTGATGAGTGATGTGTCCAGCAGAAAGGGGAAATTCAGGATTGTCTATTGCTTGGAAGGAGAAATCCCCTTCCATGAAGACTTCAAGTACCAAGTCCTTGATGGGGTTACCTCCCTCTTGGTTTTTTAATGCCACTAGGACCAGCTTGAGAATCACTGGACCACCCTCTACCTCCATCACTACCACCCTCTACCACCATCACTACCACCCTCTACCACCATCACTACCACCTCTACTACCATCACAACCAGTATCACCCTCTGCCACCTAACCAGTACAACCATCACTACTACCCTCTACCACCTTCACTACTGCCCTCTACCACCATCACTACTGCCCTCTTCCACCATCACTTCCACCCTCTACCACCATCACTACCACTATCACTACCACCATCACAACCAGTACCACTCTCTACCACCATCACAACCAGTACCACTCTCTACCCCCCACCATCCCCAACCAGTAAACCACTCTCTACCATCCATCACAACAAGTACCACCCTCTGCACCATCACTACCACCCTCTACCACCACCACTTTCGTATTTTTCTACAGATGTTTTCTTGAATCCTATCGTGTTTCCACATCCTTTACCAAAGGGCTGGCTCTAGAAGCTTTCTTGGGGCCTATTTTGTGGCTTATTTAGTGGTTACAAGCACTAGAAACAGTGGAATAATCCAAAATGTATGGGAGGCACACGTGGAAACCGAATGCAACAGCTTGTAAACAATGGCACACTGAATCTTGGAGTGGCTGGGGACATGTTCCGGACGAACATCGTTAGTTAAGTTTTTTGCCGTTGGTTAAGGTATTTTTTCTACGGCAAAAAGCGCTGTTAGACAAAATTGCCATTACTTAATGCCGCCATTAGTTGAGGGTCTACTGTATAAAATAATTGGAGGTATTTCATTTTAACAATTTTTTCCATACAAGTCATTGCCCACGAAGGCAGGGTAATCTTAACAAGGAAAGCACATTTACTAATATTCATTCCCTGGGTATCTTTCCATGAACATCTCAGTCCAGATAACCCTCCTAACTGCAAAATTCCCATCTTTCAAAGAACAGGCACTGTACTCTTTAAGTCTGGTTAATCAATTTTACTATATCCCTTCATAGATATTACCTTGTTCACACTCCAACACTACATCAAATACTTAGAGAAACACTTGTCTGCACTTACTAATTCTGCAGTCAGGGATTAACCCATGCTCAGTTCGGGATTATGAACTGCATATGAAAGAGGAAAGAAACATATTTTCTTTATGACTAGTGAAATCTTAGTGATATGACTAAACAACTCATGAAATGGGTGGAATGCGAATTCGTATTCTATGAATATTTTACGATCGTGTCATAATGACTTGCAAATCACAGATGATGGCTTTGAAAGGACTTTAGGTAGAGCTTGCCACAGACATGTTGGTGTGAGACTTGTTATGTAGATCAAGCAAAATTATATTATATTCATTTTATCATGATGAAGTTAGGCTGCTGAATTAATCCTGTTTGAAAATTAAGAATGTGCACATCATATTAATTCACACATTTATGCAGTATTTATCATTGAGAAGAGAAAATGTTCATGAACATCTGTCTTCCAAATAGGTTTTGTTTATTTAATTGACTCTGCTTAAAAAAGCACAGCAGTGTTTTTCATTTTAAAGCATTTCACTTTGTAACAGGGAATATACATTTTAAACACCTGTTCCAGTATGTTTTTATCTGCATAATCATTTATAAATAAAGTTAATTGTGTTATGACTGTAAATTAAGATTTCATGAGGATACTTTTATACCATATGTGACTTGTGTAGACTTTTAATGTTGTGTTTTTATTCAATTATACTTAGTAAGTTTCCTTATTATTTGGTTCTGGACACTGTACTAGTGCAGATATATCTGTGAACTGGGAACATCAGCTCGGCTGTCTGTTAGTTACTATCTTACATCTAGATATATTTGTGCTTACAGGGGGACTACTTTTCTGTGTCCAAGATGCTGCTCTTTGTGAAGTTATGGACTCCATTTCACAGCATAACTTTTCAACAGATCGAGATCACAACATTATGTCTTCTGGTAAGTTTTTTTTTTTATGCCACATCAGACATTTTCCACCAAGGTAGAGTAATCCAAAGAAACCAGTACATTACTCACAAAATTGTAATAACACATCTACAAATAAACCCCAGAGCGGCCTGGAAATTTACGACACTACTCCATGGGTTCAAGCCCCACCGTTGCGTGGTTGAAAGCAGTGCATTCTCCATCACTTGCTGTCTAGCTGTCAGAGTTATACCATGTTGTTCAGTGTATTTCATAGTTCAGTCTGAAAAATATTTTCATAGAAACAAACTAAAAATAGAAGTTTCCACGACTGTGTCTTTAAATAGTGTGTACTACACTTGATATAATTAAACAGCTTCAGGTTTGTCTTAGAGATATTTAAAATGGATTTATATGTTGTGCTTGCTTTGCTCACAGTTTTTTTAATATATGCATTATTATTATATCAACTTTGCAGTTAATCTTTGCATATTCCTTCAGAAATTGAGGCTATAAAATTACTGTATTTCAATTCCTCAAGCTCAGGTTTTATAGTTTATGGAATTGTGTATTTGTGTAAATGAACACAAATACTCAACTAAGACAACATCTCAATTCTCTCCTGGACTGTTATGAAGTGTATATTGTGTGTTACACTGTCCATTATTAAAAAAATTATATCTGCTAACGAACACGTAAATTCGTCTAGATATAAATTAATGTGTAAATATGCAATATCTAAATCTGAGGTGGCTGGTAGGTTTTAAGTGGTGGTGTCTCATCATCGAGCTTTAACTTGCGAGGCTCTTAGATCAGAGCAAGTGAAATTGAGTAGTTTTGGGATATGACATGCATTTGGAGTGTGAGCAAGGTAATGTATGTGATGGGATTCAGACAAACTACTTATATAAGATATGCCTTTCTGTAACTTGTGCATACTCTTTTTCTTTTTTTCATTTATATATTTTATGGCTTTTTCTTAGTTTTTTATTTAAATTGCTTTTATATTTTAACTAAAATATGTTTATTCAACATAGATATTTTAAGTGCACTTTTGACCTTTTTTATTAGTTGACTAAAGTTCTTAGGTCTCTATCATTGATGAATCCAAATTTCTGCTATTGCATGAGATCAGCTTCTTTGTTATGAATTATGATAGTGAGCTGCTGTTAGCAAACCATGTTGCATCGAAAAATATTAATCACGTACTTAAATTTTACCATTATATGATTAATTACATTATCGATCAGCTTGCTTAAAAATTAACAAATTAGCATTTAAGTATAGTCAATTTGTTCATCTGTTTGCATTTCTTTGTGTTATACTTATTGCCTGGTGAATGGTTAAGAATAAGTACAGTAAACCCTCAGTATAACAAACTTTTAAATAACTGGCAAAATCCTGGGTAAATTGTACTTTTAAACATCTTTTTCTCTTTTTTTATATAATGAGTACTATATTAGGTGTACAGTACAGTATTTTGTTTTGGATATTTTTAAACATTATTCTGGTTTAACAAAGACCTGACAATCCCCCTATTAGTCTATATTGAGATTTTTACTGTATTACCAAATTATATAATTCAGAATTATTTTCTTAAAAGTATTGTAGGAAGTTGCCTTTTTGATCATTAGCCATATTAGCTTATGCTTATCAGTCTCCTAAACCTGTAGGTGCCTCAGACACAGTTATTCGCATGGTGACTAAAAAACAGTCTTCTGGACGAGAGCTGCGAAAACGCTGCCTGAAGGAAGTCTCGGCCAAGTTGGCTCCCCAAACTTCACCAGTGCAGCCACTAGCCATGGTAATAATTAACTTTCTTATTTTCCTTTCACCTCTGATTAAAATTACATGTTTTGATCATTTTTTAAATACTTATCACTATGTGTTTATGAACGGAATGCCTCCTGAATATGGTACAGTCCATTGCATTTATAATACTTATCCCCTGTTGTTTTTAAATATCAGTAGTTATATTTAGTAAAAAATCATAATACAGTTGATAAAGAATTTTTAAGTTTAATTGTTGTCTAAATTAATTAGTGATTAATAAAGCCAATAAACAGGTAAATGGCTGAACTAAGCTGTTAACCGCTGTTTTATAATTATTAGTATTGTCATCAATTGTCATCATTATTCATTGTCATTTATTTGAAGACTTGTTTTTGCAGCAACCTTGCCGAGTACTACAGAGGGTGAAGCTCTGCGTCTTAGAAGATTCTGGTAAAGCAAGTCATGTGTAATTTACTAACAACATAGAATTAGTTGAACCTACAGATATGGCTACTAATTTTACCTCTGTATTTATATTATTGAATATGTCTTTTGTGCATGATAATAACTGCTTTTTTTGTCCTAAATATTTCAGTGATGTAACATTTGTGCACTTTATATGAGATACAGAATTTGTTTTGTACAGCACGGGTACATAATATGTTGTGTACAGCACAAGTGCACAGTGTGTTGTGTACAGCACAAGTGCACAGTGTTTTTGTGTACAGCAAAAGTGCACAGTGTGTTGTGTACAGCACAAGTGCACAGTGTGTTGTGTACAGCACAAGTACACAGGGGTGTTGTGTCAGCACAAGTACACAGTGTGTTGTGTACAGCACAAGTGCACAGTGTGTTGTGTACAGCACAAGTACACAGTGTGTTGTGTACAGCACAAGTACACAGTGTGTTGTGTACAGCACAGTGCACAGTGTGTTGTGTACAGCACAAGTACACATTGTGTACAGCACAATTTGTACACAGTGTGTTGTGTACACACAAGTAGTGCACAGTGTGTTGTGTACAGCACAAGTAGGTCACAGTGTGTTGTGTACAGCACAAGTAGTACACAGTGTGTTGTGAAACAGCACAAGTAGTGAAACAGTGTGTTGTGTACAGCACAAGTAGAAACCACAGTGTGTTGTGTACAGCACAAGTAGTGCACAGTGTGTTGTGTACAGCACAAGTAGTGCACAGTGTGTTGTGTACGCACAAGTAGTGCCACAGTGTGTTGTGTACAGCACAAGTAGTGCACAGTGTGTTGTGTACAGCACAAGTAGTGCACAGTGTTTTTGTGTACCGCAAAGTGCAAGGTGTTGTGAAACAGCACAAGTACACAGTGTGTTGTGTACAGCACAATTAGTGCACAGTGGGTTGTGTACAGCACAAGTGCACAGTGTGTTGTGTACAGCACAAGTAGTGCACATTGGTTGTGTACAGCACAAGTACACAGTGTGTTGTGTACAGCACAAGTAACAGTGTTTGTGTACAGCACAAGTGCACAGTGTGTTGTGTACAGCACAAGTAGTGCACAGTGTGTTGTGTACAGCACAATTTAGTGCACAGTGTGTTGTGTACAGAAACAAGTGCACAGTGTGTTGTGTACAGCACAAGTACACAGTGTGTTGTGTACAGCACAAGTAGTGCACAGTGTGTTGTGTACAGCAACAAGTGCACAGTGTGTTTGTACAGCCAAGTAGTACACAGTGTGTTGGTACAGCACAAGTAGTGCACAGTGTGTTGTGTACAGCACAAGTAGTACACGTGTGTTGTGTACAGCACAAGTAGTGCACAGTGTGTTGTGTACAGCACAAGTACACAGTGTGTTGTGTACAGCACAAGTAGTGCACAGTGTGTTGTGACAGCACAAGTAGTGCACAGTTTTTTGGGGTACAGCACAAGTATTTACACATGTGTTGTGTACAGCACAAGTAGTGCACTGTGTGTTGTGTACAGCACAAGTACACAGTGGTTTGTGTACAGCACAAGTAGTGCCCCAGTGTGTTGTTGTACAGCACAAGTGCACAATATTGTATTATATTTCTCCACAAGTGTTTTCCCAGTAGGGGATATAATACAATTTTTTTTACATTTAATTAATGAATCAGTGTCACCATCGTTCCTAACTATAACTGTTTTCATACTTTCACCATGATTAACAAGGCTTTTATGGGTCATGTACACAAGCCTTCATTCCTTTAAAATATCAACAAGGAGAAGGTACTCGTCTTGATCATGTTATCAATCTTCTTTATCTCTATATTTTGATCATTCATTTCGTCTAGAAGTCTCATTCCTTGAGGGTTTATCATATGCGAATTTTTCCCCAGGCATTATATGTTTCGGGGAAATTTGAAGGATAAGTGGGGAAAAGTGGGGGGAGGAATTTTCATTCAGCTAGTGGAAGGCTTCTTAAACAGAGGAATGGAAGCAAGAATTTTTTTTTTTAACATGTCTGCCTTTCCCACTGAGACAGGGGGATCCAGAAAAAAAAAAAAAAAAAAACTTTCATCATCAATCAACACTTTCAAACCATTTTTTTTTTTAACAATTCGGCCGTCTCCCACTGAAGCAGGGTGACCCAAAAAGAAAGAAAATCCCAAAAAAAAAATACTTTCATCATCATTCAACACTTTCACCTCACTCACACATAATCACTGTTTTTGCAGAGGTGCTTAGAATACAACAGTTTAGAAGCATATACATAAAAAAAAGATTTAAACAACCATTCCTGCAACCTGGTTAGTTTATCATACATAGTTTATTTATACGTAATGATGGTGAAAGTGTTAAATGATGATGAAATTTTTTTTCCTTTCTTTTTGGGTCACTGCCTCGGTGAGAAACAGCCAACATGTTAAAAAAAAAAAAAAGTAATTTGTGAAAAAATTTAAAGATAACATCACTGAATATGTGCAGATTGGAATACACAGGGTGCAATTTTTTTTTTTTTCAACAACCGGCCGCATCCCACCAAGGCAGGGTGGCCCAAAAAGAAAAACCAAAAGAGAGTGCAAGTAAGGGTAACAAATACAGGTAAATAAATAAGTAGTCTTATATCTATATATCTTTGGGACCTCCTCTTTCTTGAGAAAGATTTTCCCGTTTACAATTATCACCAGACGTTAAAACCTTTTTCAAGGGTTATCGTCCATTAAAAGGCCACTTGAATCACAGTATAAAAAAGCCCACAGTTGACTTGGCCGCCTTGTAGTGATATAAAATAGAACATATTTATTCCCATAATGTGTGGGAAGGTTGAGGATTGCATCAGGGGAAAATATACAGTAAGAAGAAGAGGGAAATTGGTTAAAGATAAAGGGAAGGTAATAAAGATTTTAAGAATATTGGAATGAAGACCCCCAGTGTGGAAATTTAGTATTGTTCTATAGCTTTTAAAACATTTATGTATAAGAGGTGAAGCCTATATCACACAGAAAGTGAAGCATTTTGAAATTTTGATGCTTTAGTAATATTAGCACTAATTTTCCCCCAGTTAAAGCAAACCTAATATAAGTATAGCTGTTTATCAAAGTGAACCGTGCACACATTGGAAGAAGTTTCAGTGAATTAAATTGTTAAGACCATTTTATTTTTAAACTGACAAACACAGCCATTTAAAAACAGCTTTATAATGTATATTATTTCCAGATGTTTGACTTGGGGCTATTATTTGGCTTTTTTTGCTTGCATCATATTAAGATACTGTGAATAATGTATCACATTATAAAAAAAGTAGACAAAAACAATGGTAAATACTGGTGAAAACTGTGGATTGGCACTTTTTATACTTCTGTATTTCCCAAAGTCAGTTTAACAGTTGTTTAATTGCACCTCACCTGCTTGTATATTATACACCAAATTTTGCTACATACTTAAGGCTGTTACATAAAACAATTCTTCTTGGTCAGCTTTGTTCTTTCTGGCTATTCCTGTATTACTTTTGTTTTTACCTTTGCTTTTCTTCGTTCTGTGGTTCTGCCTATTTACAAACCCCACCAAAGAAGGGGCTCCTGACAGGGGGGGTGGGGGGGATAGAGGATTAGAGATTCTTTGTCATTATACATCAGGGAATGTGAGTATCACACCTTCGGTAGCCCAAGGCATAAAGAAAAAAATAGGTATAAATAAAAATTAAAAAAAAAAAGAATTGTAAAAATATCTGAATTAATAAACTAAAAATTAAAATTTTAAATTAAAAGTATTGTACGTGCACTTTGGGAAAACCCCAGTTATCGCCTGTCCTAAAAATTTTTGGGGTAAAATTCATTAGCATATAATTGACTCTTTTTGTGTTTATCTTATACTTGTCAGCCATCTCCCAACAAGATAGGGTGACCAAGAAACAACAAAGAAAAGGAAATATTCACCATCATTCATTCAGTAACTGCCTTGCCAAAAATGCACAAACATCACAGTTTAAATGACCTTCCTAGATGTAACACCCCAGCCTTTCTTCAGAGTGCAAGCACAAATATTTGCCCCCTGCAGGACTCTAAGTCCTGCTAATTATTTGCCCTGAATTCCTTCATAAATGATACCTTGTTAACACTCCAACAATGGAATTTGTGTATAATTTACCTTTGCATGTGTTAGTTCATCAGATTTGATGTAACATATATGAATGTTAAAGTTTCCCATCTGTTGTCTGCACTGCCACTTCTGTATGAAACAGTAAGGTCCATTTGAACCTAGATTTTCATTCTTCAATTTACACACAGCAAGTGAAAATGAACCAAGTTCTCCACACTAGAAACTTGAGCATTTCAGTATTTTTTTTGTACATAAGCCATTTGTTAACAGTTCCTGTAACATTGTTTTCTTTCAGATGTTTATGCACAAATTACTGCCATTGCTTTCTTTTGAAATATCACCTCAGTATCATAAACAACTCATTTCCATCATTATTTGATATTAGGTAATTGAGGTTTTAATTGAAAACTAAACTTCTCATTCTTTCATAATATTTTGGAAGAGAGAAAGTTGTGAAATAAGGAAAAGGGAAATAGTGCTAATTGTGCCTTTTTTGACTCTGGTATCTACAGATTCAGCTCATGCTTTGTTTGTGCGATCAATTTATCTCGTATGCCATCGACTCATCTCTTCGTGGAAGAGTGATGTTAATGTTTCACTTGCTGGGCTGGAGCTGCTCTCTGGTTTGGCACGTCTTAATATTGCAGAGCAAGGTTTGTGACACCCATTTAATGCTTTGAAATTATCTTTTTTTAATTGATAATTTTAGAATGTTCATTGTGCAGCTGTTACTCAGTAAAGAAAAAAATGGCATGAAACCATTACGATGTATCCTACAGTCATTGTTGATGTTATTGGTGCGGCACGTGTGTGTGTTCATATACAAGTGGACAAATCCCTAGGTATCTCGCCCACATATACTTTATTGCAACTAGTACAAGGGATGGTGTAGATTCCTGCAGTCTTCTCTGAGCTGGTGTTAACCCTCTTAGACTTAGTAATATACAGTAGGGCTCTGCTTTACGGCATTTCGCTAATACAGACATTTCAAATTATGACCAAAACTCATTATATGGCTCCCCCCTCCCCCCAACTTGACTCGCTGGCATTTACAGTGGACCCCCGCATAATGCTATTAATCCGTTCCTGAGAGCTCAATGTTATGTGAAATTATCGTTATGCGAATTAATTTTCCCCATAAATAATGGAAATCAAATTAATCCGTGGAAGACACCCAAAAGTATGAAAAAAAAAAAATTTTACCACATGAAATATTAATTTTAATGCACACAATCTTAAGAAAACATGCACAGTTACATGACACTTACCTTTATTGAAGATGTGGTGATGATTGATAGGATGGGAGGAGGGGAGACTGGATGGTTTTAGTGTTTAGAAGTCCAGTGACTCTGAAGCTGGTCCTAGTGGCATTAAAAGAAGAAGGGAAGCAACCCCGGAAAAGGACTTGACACCTCAAGTCCTAATGGAAGGGGATTCCCCTTTATTTATTTTATTATCACACCTGGCCGATTCCCACCAAGGCAGGGTGGCCCGAAAAAGAAAAACTTTTACCATCATTCACTCCATCACTGTTTGTAGTGTAAAGCACCCTTCTGGCAAGACAGTGATGGAGTGAATGATGTGAAAGTTTTTTTTTTTTCGGGCCACCCTGCCTTGGTGGGAATCGGCCAGTGTGATAAATAAAATAAATAAAGGGGAATCCCCTTCCATTAGGACTTGAGGTGCAAATCCTTTTCCGGGGTTGCTTCCCTTCTTCTTTTAATGCCACTAGGACCAGCTTCAGAGTCACTGGACTTCTGTCGCACAAAATATCTGTCCATAGTGGCCTGTACCTCTCGTTCCTTTATGACTTTCCTAAGTGTTTCAAAAACAGTGTCAGTGTAATAGTCACCGCATGGCTTGCAAAAGCTGTCTGAGGGTGATTGTTTATCAAAAAGGTTTGCACTTTAAGCCACATTGCACACATTTCCTTTAAACTTTGAAGTAGGCAACTTCTACAATTTTCTCTCCCCCTCCTCCAAAACAATTTCCTCAGGTGTGGCTCTTGCTGTTGAAGTTGATCTAGCAGCTCATCAGTGGTTTGTTCTTCATTGTCCTCCTCCACCAACCTTCTCACATCCTCCCCACTAACCTCCAACCCCAAGGACTTTCCCCCAAAGCCCCAATTGATTCCTCAACGGCATACCCTCTCAGGGTTAGCCTCAATCCTTCAAAATCCCTTTGGTCTACACATTCTGGCCACAGTTTCTTCCAAGCATAGTTCAAGGTCCTCTTAGTCACTTCCTCCCAACCTTACCTATAAGGTTTACACAGTGAGGATATTAAAGTGATCTCTCCAAAACTCTAAGAGAGTCAATTGAGTTTCTGAGGTCACTACAAAACACCTTTCAAACAGAGCTTTTGTGTACAGTTTTTTGAAGTTTTTCAATAACCTGCTGGTCCATGGGGTGCAGGAGAGGAGTGGTATTAGGAGGCAAAAACTTCACCTTAATGAAGCTCATGTCCCCCCCAAATCGCTCTGCCAAGTCTGTAGGATGACCAGGGGAATTGTCTAAAAACCCGGAGGCACTAAGGTCTAATTTCTTTTCAGTTAGGTAATTTTTCACAGTGGGGGCAAATGCTTTGGGGTAACCAGTCATAGAAAAAGTCCCTAGTGACCCATGCCTTACTGTTGCCCCTCCACAGCACACACAAATTAAGCCTTGAGGAAAATCTTTTGCCTGAACGCTCTGGGAGTTTTTAGAGTGATACACTAATAAAGGCTTCACTTTGCAATCACCATTAGTATTGGGGACACATGAGAAGAGTAAGCCTCTCTTTCATAAGGCTTATGTCCTGGGAGTGCCTTTTCCCTCCTCATAATGTAGGGCCTGCTTGGCATTTTCTTCCAAAACAGGCCCGTTTCGTCACAATTAAACACTTGTTCAGGTTTCAGTCCCTTCACTGTCTATGTACTCCTTGAATTCCTGCACATATTTTTCAGCTGCTTTTTGGTCCGAACTGGCAGCCTCACCATGCCTTAACCCCAACATGTATGCCACTACGCCTCTTAAAACTCTCAAACCAACCTTTGCTGGCCTAAATTCATGCAGGCATTTTTCTAATTAAATCCTCGTGCACTTCCTAGCCTTTTCATTTATGGGTCGCTTTTGGGGAAAGCTATTGCCTGCTATCTGCTTTTTGTTTATCCACACCAAAACAGTCTCTCAACATCTTCTATCACTTGCGATCTCTGTTTCGAAAGCCCCAGTTTTAAAACCTTTTGGCAAGAACAGCTTCCTTGATTGCCGTTCTCTTGGACACAATTAGCAATGGTTGATTGGGGTTTACTATACAACCTGGCCACTCGGAGACCCCGCACTCCACTTTCATACTTAGCAATGATCTCTTCTTCACTCCATAGTAATTCTCCCCTTATTCCTGTAGGTTGGCACTAGAAGCTTTCTTGGGCCCATGGTCACTTATTTTTCAGGTGAAATCACTATAAAAAGGCTGTAATAATACAAAAAAGTTCCGATTGTATCTTGAATGTTACCCGCGGAGGCTGGCTTGTAAACAGTGCCACTGGCAGAACAAGTGAGGCTTGGGTCAGGCCGCATGGACGCATTTTCGGACAAATCGCATTGAGCGAATTTTTTAGCGCTATGCAAGGCAAAATTTTAGCGATAAAATGTATCGCTATGCGGATTTAACGCTATGCGATGCCAACGTTATGCAGGGGTCCACTGCATATGCATTTATAAGTGGGTAAAAAAGGGGTTTCCACTTTACGGTGATTCTGCTTTTCAGCAGTAGCCAGGAACTTGACCTGCTGTATAAGTGGGGCCCTGCTGTATACGATACATTGGAGGGATGCTTGTTCTCAGTTAAATATCTCAGTTTCCAGTCTGCCACAGTGTCTTTGTATCAACTTCTCAGTTTTACAGTTTTGAGTATTGTATATAAATTTTGGTTAGATTTATTTTAGGCATTCTAAAAGTTACTTTTATATTTCTTTTATGTTACTTTTATATTACGCAAAATATTCTTGCCAACATATTTATTAAATTTCTTGCCTATTAAAATAATTAGGTGACATGGTGATCTACCATATGGATTCTTGCTGATTTCAAAAAATTTTAAAACTTTTTTTGCAAGTCATGCTAACCAGTGGTAAGTTGACTGTAAATAAAGTTCAGTATTACACATTTACCAGATGGGTTAAGTGCAAACGTGCCGTTTTAATGGTTATGCGACTACATAGCATATCAGTGCTCGAGACCACCCAGGGCACACTCCAAGGCAGTTAAAAAATACAGTAATTGTCTTCCTTATCCTCTAGTTGTCACTCAAAACCTTTGTAGTATTTATTGATTCTTTGAAGTATCTAAAAGGTTTGGTTCATTACAATAAATAATAGCACTGTTTTCAAAGTGCTGAAAAAAAAGAAAGCAAGCTTGTACAGTGGACCCCCGGTTAACGATATTTTTTTTATTCCAGAAGTATGTTTTAGGTGCCAGTACTGACCGAATTTGTTCCCATAAGGAATATTGAGAAGTAGATTAGTCCATTTCAGACCCCCAAACATACACGTACAAATGCACTTACATAAATACACTTACATAATTGGTCGCATTGGGAGGTGATCGTTATGCGGGGGTCCACTGTATTACAAAAAGGCATTTTTTTTTTTGCTGATATGTGATCAAGTGTATCACAAAAATTAAAAATAATAATATTAATTTTTATCATCATATTTTTAGTACTGTTTTGCATTAGAGAATTTTTAAACTAGCATTCACAGTTAGAGCTTCCTAGTCACCTCAAATTGTTCTCATGAACTAAATAATGTAGTTGTAATGTACCTTCCATAGGATCTGCACTCAACCATTGTTGCAGCATTCCATTGTGCAAGTGTGTGGCTGGTTGCTCACCCATACCTACTCCAGGATAAAGAATGTCTGTCAACAGTACTGGAAGTTGTGGAGCTTGGCATCTCAGGATCAAAGTCACAAGTAAGCTATTTATTAAGTGAAAATGATGATATTTTGCAAGATTGATTGAAGCTGTGATTTTTTTTTTTTTTTTTATTATCACACCGGCCGATTCCCACCAAGGCAGGGTGGCCCGAAAAAGAAAAACTTTCACCATCATTCACTCCATCACTGTCTTGCCAGAAGGGGGCTTACACTACAGTTTTTAAACTGCAAAAATTAACACCCCTCCTTCAGAGTGCAGGCACTGTACTTCCCATCTCCAGGACTCAAGTCCGGCCTGCCGGTTTCCCTGAATCCCTTCATAAATGTTACTTTGCTCACACTCCAACAGCACGTCAAGTATTAAAAACCATTTGTCTCCATTCACTCCTATCAAACACGCTCACGCATGCCTGCGGGAAGTCCAAGCCCCTCGCACACAAAACCTCCTTTCCCCCCCTCCCTCCAACCCTTCCTAGGCCGACCCCTACCCCGCCTTCCTTCCACTACAGACTGATACACTCTTGAAGTCTTTCTGTTTCGCTCCTTTCCCTCTCTACATGTCCGAACCACCTCAACAACCCTTCCTCAGCCCTCTGGACAACAGTTTTGGAATCCCGCACCTCCTCCTAACTTCCAAACTACGAATTCTCTGCATTTATTCACACCACACATTGCCCTCAACAAGACATCTCCACTGCCTCCAGCCTTCTCCTCGCTGCAACATTCATCACCCCACGCTTCACACCCATATAAGAGCGTTGGTAAAACTATACTCTCATACATTCCCCTCTTTGCCTCCAAGGACAAAGTTCTTTGTCTCCACAGACTCCTAAGTGCACCACTCACTCTTTTTCCCTCATCAATTCTATGATTCACCTCATCTTTCATAGACCCATCCGTGACACGTCCACTCCCAAATATCTGAATACTTTACACCTCCTCCATACTCTCTCCCTCCAATCTGATATTCAATCTTTCATCACCTAATTTTTTGTTTCCTCATAACCTTACCTTTCCTGTATTCACTTTAATTTTTTCTTTTGCCAAAACCCTACCAAATTCATCCACCAATCTCTGCAACTTCTCTTCAAATCTCCCAAGAGCACAGTGTCATCAGCAAAGAGCACTGTGACAACTCCCACTTGTGTGTGATTCTTTATCTTTTAACTCCACGCCTCTTGCCAAGACCCTCGCATTTATTTCCCTCTTACAACCCCATCTATAAATATATTAAACAACCACGGTGACATCACACAATCCTTGTCTAAGGCCTACTTTTACTGGGAAAAATTCCCTCTTTTCTACATACTCAACTTGAGCCTCACTATCCTCGTAAAAAAATCTTCACTGCTTTCAGTAACCTACCTCCTACACCATACACTTGCAACATCTGCCACATTGCCCCCCTATCCACCTGTCATACGCCTTTTCCAAATCCATAAATGCCACAAAGACCTCTTTAGCCTTATCTAAATACTGTTCACTTATAGTTTCACTGTAAACACCTGGGCCACACACCCCCTAACCTTTCCTAAAGCCTCCTTGTTCATCTGCTATCCTATTCTCCGTCTTACTCTTAATTCTTTCAAATTTTAACTCTTACCATACACTTTACCCAGGTACCTCAACAGACTTATCCCCCTATAATTTTTGCACTCTCTTTTATCCCCTTTGCCTTTATACAAAGGAACTATGCATGCTCTCTGCCAATCCCTAGGTACCTTACCCTCTTCCATACTTTTTTAAATAATTGCACCAACCACCCAAAAATATCCCCACCTGCTTTTAACATTTCTATCTTTATTTCCCCTCAATCCCGGCTGCCCTTACCCCCTTCATTTTTCCCACTGCCTCACGAACTTTCCCCCCCACTCCAATGGGTCTTCCTCACTCCACAAGAGTTATTCCCCTTGCCCTATACACGAAATCACAGCTTCCCTACTTATC